ACTTTTACCTTTTGCTTTCCCTCCCCCCCTCGTCTTTTGCTTTTCTTGCCCCATTTGTTTCTTTATCTATAGGCATTTACCAGGCTTCATCTCGGTGGGAAATGTTTTGTGGAAAGCTTTTAATACCACAGGTAGGATCAGAACTGATGAAAGAAAGTGCACGTGGCTAGTGGACCAAGATTCCCATTCAAATTTTTTGGGTAAATTTTACATGCCTTTTTGCCTTTTTTCTGGCCTTCTTGACTTAATAGTGCTCACTCAGGCATGGTTTGAAAGATCCTCTCCCCCCTGTACAAGTTCGACGAAAAAGTTGTCCTTGACAATTAAAACTGATTACGTCATAAGGGATACAAGAGACGTGAATCAGCACTGGCAGTTACAGGCTGTTTGGGGGGAGAATGGGCTAACCTTGTTTTTGCAAGACTTACCAGAGGATTGCTGAGCATTTACGTGGAGTCATTTGTCAATAAGCAAGTAAAAAACTACTGCCTAGAAATAATTATACGGCCTGGTTACTTGTACATTCACAAGTGCTTTGTTAAAAATACTGGACAAACACTTTACAATGTTACTTACTGCCGACGTCAAGTTAGATTCTAACATCTCAAACTCAATTGTGTTACTCTGGGAATATGCATCCTTCCATGGCCAATTTTGGTCGTCATCTATAGTAATTCCAATTGTTTCGGTTTCACATTCATTAGCTCCACCTTTCGAAAAAAACACAATCAAGAAAGTGAAGGCTTTTTCAGTGACTGATGGAGTGATAAATGGAAATCTAGAAGAAACAGTTGCATACATGAGCTAGCAACTCATGTAAGTCAGGCAAAATCATTGATGAGGTAGAATTATGTACTATTAAATTAACTTGACAGCTTTTTGTAGAAGAATAGGTCTGTAACAAAAAATCCAAAATTTGTCTGCCACACAAACCAGTAGGTTCAAACTAATCAGCAAACAAGGCCTTCAATGCTCAATGACATTAGCCATGGTATGCTAATAATAATAATAATAATAATAATAATAATAATAATAATAATAATAATAATAATGATAATACTAATACTACTACTAATAATAATAATCATAATCATAGAAAAGTCGCCTCTCTTGTGCAGACTGTCACAATATTTAGCAGTGATGTTGGAATGGACCTTGGTATTAATAAAATAATGAGCTGTGCTTGTAAAGTACACTTTCAAAAAATTCAGAAAATTATTACTTACTCTACATGGCGTTCACTATCCCTTCCGAGAGCAAATGTTACATACCTCAGTCGTAAGCAAGGGGGGCGAGGGCTGATTAGCATGGAGGATTGTATTATTCTGGAGGAACTAAGCCCTGTTGACTATCTTAGGCAAAGTAAAGAAAGACTACTAAAGAGTGCATGGAGAAGGAGAAACCGTAGTGAAGTAGAACATCCTAATGACTTTAAGAGAAGAAAGCACGAGAAAACAGCAAGGGACTACTGGTCACAGAAAGAGCTCCATGTGCAATACATACAGTGTATGACAGAAGAAAGAAGTGGCTGGTAATGAATCCTTGAGCTGGCTGGCAGTGGGAGACCTTAAGAAAGAGACTGAAGACCCAATTATGGCATGTCAAGATCAGGCATTGAGGACAAATGTGATTAGGCAAATATTGAACATAAGAGTGTCAGCATTGTGCAGAATGTGTGGAAAATACCAAGAGAGTGTAGAACAGAACACACAGTATGTAGCTGCAGCAAACTTGCCCAAAGAGGTAACAAATTAAAACAGGCAATTTGACACAGTCATTGGCCTGGCCAGGGTGTTCAATGAGAACTTTGTAAAGTTTATGATCTCCCAATCCATATAGCTCAACAAGCCATACGAAATTAGTCCCGCAGAGATAACTAGAGAGAGGTGAAAATCACCGCCACCTTTGATTTCATAAATGACAATGTCATGCGCAGTAGGGAAGTACCTTAAGAGATTTTGGTCATATTTACATGTACAATGTAAGTTATGCTTTTTGGATAGCCCAGGGACTATACTGAGTTAAAACGTTTAAACTGAGCACAATTTTAGGTCTAAGCTACATGCAGTACAAGGACTCAAAGAAAGTAGTGTCCTTACACTTAAATACTGTTTATAAAATCCTGGAACTACATGTACAAGAAAATCAAAGAGCATACTCTTAAGATGAATTAATTTCATACATACATATTACATCAAGAACAGCGAGGCTTGTAGCAGGAGTGCCATATCCATTATCAGCAGTACAATTGTATGATCCCACATCCTCTACTTTTATGTCAACAAGATATAAGTTATGACCAGAGACATTAAACTGTGCTGCTGTTAAACCCCCTTTTGTCCAAGTGATATTGGGGGTGGGGTCACCAGATGCATTGCATGTCAATGTATAGTTTGTTCCAAGAGATTTTCTTGGCTGCCTTTCAGGGGTGACTGTTAATCTTGGAGGCACTGAAACATAACAAAATGACAGTATTGGGCTAGTACAATTAATGTAGAAAGTAACATCTACTCAACAGTATTGGTAACTGTTATCAAATGGTCACAAGTGAAATTACAGTAGGGAATAATTTTGTATGCCTTTTGCCCAAGTTCTAATAATTTCCCAAGCCTTTAGGTAAGGGAACTTATTACGATTTGGACAAAATACAAGTGAAATTATTCCCTGTTTTCACAAGTACAGTGTAGCCATTTGATTACCTATTATAGTGTCATGGGTGCAGAAAAGTTAAGCTCACAATTCACTCACAATCGTGGCTTTTTCAAGCACTTGTTCATTGGACCAAGAACTCCTTCCACTGAAAAGTTTAGTGCATAGATTTTGTATTAAGAGATCACAAGTTTCTGAATTTTTTGACAAAATAAATGTACCCGTTAGAATCCTGCTTGATGTGCTCTTTTGTGTGTTCAGATTTTCTAAAGTGTCTTTTAATGCCGTGACACCTTCATTCATACATTTTAAAACTTTGTTGCCAACTTGGCAGCCCGAAGTGCAGAACATTGCCATGGCAATTATTTTTGTAATTTCACACATGAAATTAAACATTAACACTGAAATTTTGTGCCAGAATAAGGGAGTAACTATTTTGACATTATTGAGAAAATTGAAAAATATAGCCCTATCTTATTAACATGCTTTCGATAAAAAGTGAGTATAAATTAATAATACATGTACAAGTTAGTCATACAGAAGGTGTAGTGATACCCAAGTCTTATGAGCTAAAAAAATGATTAATATTTACTTGGGAACTGGACCAGTTTCTGCATATGGGAATTGGGAGGGTGAATACTGGGAAGGATGGTGGTGGGAGGACGCATTTACAAAAAGACAGTCTTCAGATTTTAGTTCTCTGGGGGCTAGCATTCTCTGTTATAAAGTCATATTTAATTTTCCAAGAAAGTTTTCTTCCCCAACCTTTATGCACACTCCCACCTACCACAGGGTTTACATTAATACAGTATATACTCTCTCTCTTTGCATTGTTACAGTGTACATTTAGGTGTATGGGGGATGAGGCGAGTGGAGACAGGGTGGGAGGGCACATTGCAAAAAACTATAGTCTTCAGTATGTTCCAACTCCAGAGGTTAGCATCTCTTTTCTATATTTATAGTTAGTAAGAATCCATGACCAGGTTAAATTTGGCAGTAAGGTGCCCTCTATACAGGAACCTGTTTAGCGTAAAATTCAAAACCATTTTTTTTCTTAAATCTACAAAAAGAATTTCGTACATTAGGCAAATAAGGTAAGTCAATATTCAGGATCCTCTTTAGAGACCTATGTGCCTTATTACTCCAACTGTAATTGTGGTGGTATACAAGCTTTACATAACAAAAGAGCTGAATACCACTAAATCACATGTACTGTTAGCTACAATGTATTTAGGAACCTAGTAAATAGCCTCAATCTGTGCTAACAAAATGTTTAGGCTAACTTGGGAAAATGAAGGTTCTTTATAGTCACAGGTTTTTACTGTATTTTCCAAGAAAGCTCTCCTCCCAACCCTTTGTACATACTCCCACCCCACAGGGATAACATTGATGATGCACTCACTCCCAAAGAGGGTTTACACTGCTAAGTGTATTGGGGATGGAGCAGGACTGGATACAGGGTGTAAGGGCAGACTGCAGTCTTCAGAAATCCATCTCCAGGGGTCAGCATCTCTGTGACAGTTATACTTTTCACAAAAGTTCTCCTTTCCAACCCTTCTTCCGCACTCTCTCTAGACTGTTCACAGGCCCCTATTTTTCCGTAAGACCATTGAGATCAAAGACTTTAGATGAGTGTCAAATCTACTTAGGGGGCCGGGGACAGTTTGGGAGGAGGCAAGAAAAATAGAGGGACTGTACCAACATCACTGTGACTTGCGCGAAGCGTGCGGGCCATCAATCGATGGCAAAAAACTTGGTCTGTAATTTACGGCCATACAGACCAAAAACTCGGCTAATAAGAGGTATTTATGGCTGATATTTCAGGGAGAATTCTATAATGCCACACTGCTGCATTGCTGTTGAATCTTTCAACACTTGCAAAGATGGAGTAAGTCTATCATTGGCCCGATGATCCCTGATATGCCAGGCTTTGGACGAACACCGTGGAAAACACTGGGCAAGTCTACGAATATAATTAGACCTAGCAGCGCTTATTTTACTGAAGACTACTTTGAAGCGCAAACAGCGATAGCTAGAGTCCTTTGGCATAAAGATGAAACCAATAATAAAAGCTGATGATGTTCCGACAATTTTTAAGCGTCGGTTACCAACAACAACAAAGCTAAGGAGTGAAATGGATACCGCTGAAACGTCTCAGAATACTCAAGATAAAGGCAAATCACCAAAAAATTAAATAATTATTTGCTTTTGCTTTACATGGCAAATACATGTTAAAATTCTGTGTAGTCTGTGTTTACATTATTCGTCTGCAAGGCAAAAACTCTTGAACACAAAGTCATGTTCATTGCCTGGGGGAGGGAAGTGAGCCTCAACCGACTGCAAACAGCACACAAGGGACCGCTCAAGATGACAGGACAATGCGAACTTTTCACGGCTAACTGCCTAGCACCACCTCGCCAACTGCCTTTAAGCTAAGTACGGGGCCTTCGTAGGAGTCACGGTAGGTGCTGTTTGCATTGATATCAGGCCATCTAAAGAACCCCCTGTCGCTAAGCTTGAATATTCACGTCACGTATTAAACCTGGTCGTTTGCGGTCATATCGAAGCGTAAAGGTCAACAGTGGTTGTTGATGAGCGAGCAATTATTGTGCAGTTGCGATGGGTTTTGTGGAGCAAGCGAGCCAGAAGCAGGAGCACACGTTACCTGCAGATTGGCCGATGGTTATTTGGAGCGGATTCGTCGATTATTCTCGAATTTATAGCGCTTCATGTGAAGGCGCGTGGGGATGGTCTGTTTGTTTTGTAGCCAGCCTTTAATTCTTCTTTAGTGGATAGTACCTACAATTTCAAAACTCAACAAAATGCCACTTAAGCCGGCCAGGAAAGACAAGGGTACGTTCAGTTGAAGGTATCTTAGCTTTGTTTTGTTATATTTTGACTTTTAGACTATTTTAGTCCATAGGAGTTTCGACGACTCATCAAATTAATTTGTCCATGTGGATATTAATATATTCATTCAGTGACACATACTACGTCTGGGCCGCCTGTGTTTTAAGCGGCCAAGGCACACAGCCAAACTGTGAGCAGCAGACAAGCTCTTGGAATCAATTCAGGCATTGACAAAATCCACATTTACATCCACAATTGTGACGTTGGTCACTTTTTCTTAGGTATACAACCTTTACACAAGCATACGTTTATAACATGATTTTCTGAATTTCCCGGGAAAATAATATTGCCTTGAACACATAACACAGCTCACATAGTTATTACGCGGCTTTAGATCAAAATAATGCTCAAAGAACACATTGCCATTCCATCAGAAGAGTAATTAACAGCTAGAATTATTTTATTTTATCGAAAATGTAATCATACCGTCAATCAGTAATGAACAGAATTTTCAATGCAATTTCTCGTGTTGCTCCACATCGGACTCGCATGTTGAGTCAGTATCTGAGTTTAGTTAACTTGCTGTCATAAGACTCAAACAAACAAGTCTGTGCTCCTTCACCCTCTGATAAACTTGAATTGTCATTAATTATACTTTTGTTTGAAGGACAAGAAGAAAGGGAAGAACTATCCTCAGAATCTATAATCTCTTTAGTCACACTAAAAAGATTCTTCTTTCTACGTCATGGTCACATGCCCTAACAAATGAGTGATTTCACTTCCTGTTCTTAAAGGGGAGAAATTTTTCATTTCTCCAACGATTTTCGGGCTTTTACGTTTGCTTTTCAATTGTTTTTTTTGTTATTTTCCTGTTATAATAGTGCAAATACTATCTTTTGAGCAAAAGTTGCTTTTACGAACAGAGTATCCCTTTAATAGAGGGTGTTCGCTTAATTGGGGTCCACTTAATAAAGGTTTCACTGTATTCATTAATTAACAAACTCCGCTTGTGATGAAAAACATGCCAGACACATTAAGCATTGACTTTACGTGTTTACAAACATCTTGTTTCGAAACAGTGATTATAATACAGTTAAAAGGACATTTTGCCAAATAAAATTGGCCAACATGCACAGCTGGAACATTTTCCCAAACTAACTGGCAAGCATGCTCTCTTCAAAACTGATTAAAACGATTAAACCTCCAGATAAATAGCCAGAAATTTCTCACACTGGTCGTCTTTCTGTGTCTTTGTAGCAGAAACCGTGCCATTTAATTCAAAACTCACAAGACTTAATTCTGAAATTAACAAAATTCCCCGGCTGAGGCTACATCAAAAGCATCTGGTTTTGAAAACAATACGAACAAATGGTTTTATGTCATCCCTTCGCTATGAAATGTCCAGAAGAGTCTGTCTTCTTCATGCCAAATGGGAATAAATTCCTGACCCAAAATAACACAAAAGTTAGGCGAACAGTTATCATACATGTAGAAATGACGACTTGTCACGACTTGTCAGTGTTGGCAACTTTAAGCTAATCCTGCTGTCAAGGCAAATTAACATCTAAATGAATGAATGAAGCTTTATTTAGTCTCGGGTTTGATGAGGTTGGTTAGACCTCTAGCAAAAAATATGCTAATAAGCCAAGAGAAAAAAAAAGTAAAGAAGACAAAACAATTATAATAAATAAAATAATAGAGAAAGAAAGGGAAATTAAAAAACTTATTTTACAGTATAAAGCCTAAAAATTACGTGACATAGCTATTTACAATAAAAAGCCCAATTACTTAATAGAACATAGATATTATATAAAATTAGCTAAAACCTTAGCTGTCGGACTGCTTTTTTAAAGGCTGACAATGAGCTTAGGCATCTTAAGGTATCAGAAATCTTGTTCCAAGTAATAGCCACCTAGTACTTTACTGAGTTCTTGCCATAAGGAGTTGTATTAGCTAGTTTCGGTACTTGTAGCTTGTTAACCCCTCTCAGGTTTTTGATGTTGTCTCTTAACCTAAATAGGTCTCTCAGATATTCAGGTGGATAATTGTAAATTGTCTTAAATACAATAATTAACAAGTTCTGGATACATCAATCCACAAGACTGTAACCAATACGATCACAAAGAGTGCTAGTTTGTGAAGACTAGTCACTGTACAAGTAACAAAGTGCTCGTTCATGCAACCATCCAGTTTTTTACTATCAGACTTTAAAGAGTAATGCCATATGGATGAACAGTAATGAAAATTAGGCATTATGAACAAATTATAATGACGTAAAGACAGAAAATCCCAAAGGGACTGCTCAGGTAGATGTTGTGACATTTACTGTGCAGTCATACTTCGATACTCTTTTGCGATACAGAGTGACATAATGTGGAGCAGTTGTTTTGAAAGTTATGGACCAAAAGACACTCGTTAAGTGCAGATGAGGTTATAAGGTGTGTTTAACTGTGTATAATTATATATACACTTGGAGAGTTTGCCAGACATGAGTTCACAAATCTTTGACTTACAGCATATTGGAAACCTTGCCAGAAACTTTTTCTCTTTCTTTGATCGGAATAAGACTCAGTCCCAAACAAAAAAGACGAGTGAACAACGGCTAGCTTATCACTAGCAGAACGATGGACGATTACAGAAATTCGCCGACAATCAAACTCTGTGCTGACTTATTGCCTGCTGACAGATGTCCTTCCGTTATAAAATTTCAAATAAGACTAGAATGCGCGAGCGTGAATCGATCAGACGTCCTTTTAATTTCTAAGGCTTACTTTCCGGCAAATAAAATGAACTGAATGTAAAAAGTGAAAGAGAAATAGCGAAAAATTCAACTTCTAATTAAATCTTTTCTTATGGTTTAGAATAAACTACTCTTGTAACTGAGAATGTTTTGATCAAAGCTGTGTAAATCGAGCTGAAACTGTGCATGGAACCTTGTGTTTCCTGTATTTTCAGTGTATCTCACCTATTGTATGGATTATGTGTGAAAATCTTCATTATGAATCGGTATATTTCAATGCAAAGAGCTACACAACGAGCAAGAATACTATTGACCAGCAATATACAAAACGGGGGCAGCTGTTAGTGTCAACTAATTACTAGTCATTATTTTATTCAGTGTTACAAGTATCTATACGCCTCCCTACTTTTTGCTGTACGTTTTGTGGTAACTTTTGAAAAACTGGCAAAAACATTCCAGTTCTTGAAATAGGCTATTCAAGATCATATTTCAATCTCTTTTTAATTCACGCAGTCGCATGCGATGCACGTAAATACAAACCTTCACAAATATATAAACAGTTCGAAGTTGATATAGTTCAAAAGATAGACTTGATACAAAAATACTGACTTAATTTCCAAACTTCCAGATAAAAACCTTTTGTTGGTCCTTTTTTATCACCTAAAAACAACACACAAGTGCTGTTGGTCGGTGCTTTTGCTGTACGTGAGAGTGGTCACTGTTATGTTTCTCAAGAAATAAATCGTCCCTCGAAATCCTTTCGAGTGGTGAAGGTAAAAAATGCTGGTTTCTGGAGACTCAAGACTCGTTTTTCGGGTTTCGAAACTTGATTCGTTCGAGGCTTGAGTATTGTTCCGGTTTTGCCTCGCCATGTAACGTTTCTTGACCCTTCCCTAGTTATCTAGGAAGCAACCTCGTCCCCAGGGCTTTTCCCTCAAAAAATGGGTGGGGCCGGGAAAAGGCCCTGGCATCGGCTGGTCACGTGCACAGCCTAAATATTCTTGAGAAGCTAATTTATATGCAACCCGCTGGTTTTCCGCTGACAGAAGTCGAACGGAGCAACAATGGAAAATAATAATATCGCGAACTGTATGTCAATATTTTCGCGTCTGTGCGATTCAAAAGCTTAAGATCCATTTAATTGCGTATTATTCAAATGCTACAAGTACCGCTCTACGTTGTCACGCATAAAATATGTCAAATGCTTCAGAGTTGAGACAAGCTGTTATCGAGTAGTACTTGACTGAAATTCATCGTGACTGTGGAATTACTTGATCAAGCAGAAAGTGATTTTGTCCAATGTCAAACAAAAATGCGGGCCTTTGCCTCTAGGATCTGCAGTGAGTTTAAACAAATTGGACTTAGAATTGTTCATCAAAATACTTTATGGAGTCTGGTCTTCTCTACAACCCGACCATGAAACAAACAAATCTCCGCGCGGATGCAAGTCAGCCCTCGAGCCAGGAACGATGACAGGTCGCCGATCTGAAACATTTTAAGATCTCTTATATCTTTTCTCTTCCGAGGATAAGTACAAAGGATTTTCCTTATATCAAAGGGAAGATTGACCGATCGATTGGAATCAACTACAGCTCTGTCAATTTTAAATGGGCCCAAGTCTTTCTTTGTTACCAGTCGCTTGATACCCTGGGTGCCAGAAACTTTTCATGCCCGGTTTCGGTTTCGGTCAAGTCTCGCAGAGGTCAATGAATTTTTAAAAATACAGGTCATACAAGATAAGTCTAAACCAACGCGTGACGCTATGATATGGCTGAGAGTTAAGGTGAATAGAACTAGGTTGTGTACGGTCCCACTTCGCAAGAAATAAAATAAAATATCAAAAGAGTTGAGAAAACGGACTTTTCCAGTACAAACTTTAAGCATGTACGATAGCTTGTTTGTCATTTATATCGCTCTATAAAGGAAGTTTTACAAATGTTACCGCTCGCTCTCCCCTTCATAGAAATCGGAGGAAAGCAAAAAATTACCATAGCCAGTATCTGTGACAAAAAAGAAATCTTGTAAAACTTTTCGTTAATCGTCAAGAGATATAAAAGGCCGCCCAAGATCGCGCGCTGTGAGGTTACGCATAATTTTAGCTTTTCATAAAGCGCTAATTTATTACACCCAGGATTTTAGGGTGTACGAGGGGACACGTGACCAGCCGATGCCAGGGCCTTTTCCCGCCCCACCCATTTTTTGAGGGAAAAGCCCTGGGGATGAGGTTGATCTAGGAAGATCGAAGGGCCTCTGCTCACAGGGTATAAATTGATAAACATCAACTTCTTCAAAGATAGACCTTATTTCCAGCAATACCTCAACTGGATATCCTGACCAATCCTGTCAGCGTTACACTCATAAAAAAGGTAACATTTTGGGGAAAAAATCCACTGCCAATTTCGCTGTTTATACATACTACTCTTTGAAGATTAAATTTGCCCCTTTCCTAACAAGTTAGCCAGCCACAACTCCATGCAAAAGAAGGACGATAAAGAGGGCAACAAAACTGCTAATAAACAAGAAAAGGAAAGGAAAAATTAATAGAGCGAGAGAGAAAGATCGAAATAGATTCGCAAAAAAAGGACCAAATTTTGGCTTTTGCGCATGCGTGAAAAACAGATTACGTCAGATTACTCGAAAAATATGCCTTTTTTTCTTGCAAAACCCATTTTTAGCCCTTTTTATGCTAATTAGCTAAAAACCAGTCTCTAGAAGAGGAATTGGTGAAAAATGTGTTTTTTTTCGCTACTCGCTGGCTGTCACCAAAGGGTTAATAAAGTTACTGATCATTTTTAATTGGGCTCATAGCAATGCGGCCCTGGTTTACACAGATATACGTAAGTGCATTCTCTCCCAGACAGGGTTTGCATTGCTGGTTGTATTATACAGGGTTCATACAAAACATTTCAACCATTTTTCAAGGACTTTTCAAGGACCACCTACTAGGAATATAATTTCACAGATTGTTCAAAAATGCAGATTCCCAGTCTATTCTAATAAGGCTTTAAGGCTTGAACTGTTTGCTTCACCATCATTTTTCAGTTCACTTGTCTTAAATGTATATAATTAATTATATATTGCATAAAACATTGAGCACTTTGTGTAAATAACCGTTAAATTCTCTGAGCTACGATTTATATTCTGTCTTGGACAACCAAAAAGCATCAGAAACTACTTTCCAGGCCACTACATTCAAAGTTGAAGAAAACTCAAGGACTTTTCAAGGAAAAATGGGATTCAAGGACTTTTCAAGGACTTCCCCTTAAATTCAAGGACTTTTCAAGACTGTGTGAACCCTGTAATGGTGGGGCAGTAAGACACATTGCAAAAAGACAGTCACTCCAGGTTAGCATTTCTGTTATACTGCTTAAACAGTTACATTTCCCCGGAAAAAGTCTCTTCCCCACCCTTTGTCCATCCTCCCAACAGGGTTTAAATTGATAAGTGCAATTACATTCACGTTCATCTGAAATGCTCCGAACCCGCCTTGAAAGCAGGCCTTCCATAATGATTGTAAACCCCTTGAGTATTGGGAAGTTTAGTGCTGCCATTTAATGGTAACAGGGTTTGTACCCTGTTTTGAACAAAAAATTCAACGACTATTCAAGGACTTTCAAGGACACATTTCCTATTATTTTCAAGGACTCAATTCAGTGCAAAAAAACAGCCTTTAGTCTATGCCTTTCTTACTTCTTCAACAACATGAGCAATATTATCCTGAAGGTCTTTCTGTGTTTGCTGAGTTGGATAAAGTTAACAACAAAATTCAAGGACTTTCCAGCAACAACTGCAATTTTCATGGACATTTATTAGGCCTTGAATTTTTATTTTAAAATTCAAGGACTTTCAAGGTGCTATATATAAATCTTGTTTTGTAATATGTCTTCAGCTCCCCCCGCCTCGATTAGTTCATAAGCTATTTGCGGGTGGGAAAGTAATGTAGTTAGTTATTTTCCAATTTTCAATAAAATTTGTTGTTGTTGTTGTTGTTGTTATGTGAACCCTGTAGTTAAAATTAATGTACATGCATGTAAATAACACAATGACAATTTAAAAGAGCAGCTAATGAAAGAATTTTTTTCAACGTGATGAACGATATACACGCAGTCACACCACAATGATAAAACTTAGCAAATATTAAAGCATCAAAAATGAAGGACTTGCAAGAACCAAAAACCAATAATTATTTCAAGTACTTTCAAGGCCTTGAAATAATATTGGACTCCGGAATTTCAAGGGTTTTCAAGGACTTTCAATATGATTACAAACATCTCCCTTACAATATAAAGTAACACACCTAACCCTAAATTATGTTTCGCTGTTTTGAGTACAATATCGAAACATCTGGAAATTTCCCTGTAACAGGACTGTCACTAAAAAAGGGGCAGGGGCCCGAGATTTTTGGGTCAGTGTACAGATTTCTGACAACCACCCCTCTGCTAATCCCACCATTTTAGCCTAAGAACATGTAACAGGTTAGTGTGAACACTATTTTGTTAGGGGATGGGGGTATAAGGTGTGCCCAGAATCTTATACTGATCCATCTAGTACACTTAAGTGTTGCACAGCTTATTACGTCCCTGTTTAATGTCCTTATAGGAAGGTGACCATAAAGAAAAGGTTGGGCTGTATTAGAAAAATGCTAACTAAAGTGCAAGCAGTTTGATAACCTCTTACAGTGTATTTCTTCTTTTCCTGAAGTAGCCATCAGTGATTTTCGTACCTCTGTGTTCTAAGTCCCTGATGGAGGGGAGCATTGGGATTTTTGATTTTTCAGTTTTGGCCATCTTAAGGTCGATTTTCAGGTTTTGCATTGAAAAACTTTGGTTAATTACAGTTTTACTGTCCATTGCTGTTTGCGGTTTTACGGTTTTTCAGCATTGGTCTTCAGTATTTGGCAAAACTCATTCAAGTGGTTTTTCGGATTTGGTGTTCGATCTGGTTTTCTGTTTTTTTTGTGTGCTGAGCCTAACATCACATAGTACTGATACTGTGATGATACATGTATTAATATTTAGTATGAACCCTTGTAGAACCAGACAAATGCAAAAACTATGCTCATGCTATTGATTTACTATGTTGGACTATGTTTCAGCTATGTTATGTTCACTACTGCCTATGTATTAACTATGTAACATACCACATAACATAGTCCAAAGTATGAAAAATCTATGTTGAAACTATGTTTAGGCTATTTGAAAAGTACATAGCTTTTTAATACCTATGCAAATACTATTCAAAATCTTTTCATAGTCTTGACATAGCTATGTATTTACTATGCAATAGAAAGTTCTGCTTTCCCTTCCAATTTGCATCCTATGTATTCACTAAACATCAAAGTAAAATAGCTGTTACATAGCATCTCGATGCTCACTTTTATTTCCAACGATATTTTTAGCTTTTACATCGTGCTATGTATTATTCTATGCTATGTGAATGAAACATATTTGCAGCCTATGTTTTTACTGTCTGACATTTAATTTATTTTTATCATAACATAAAGGCCACATAGCTTTTACATAAACGTATTTTTTCCTACCGGTATGTCACTCATGAAAAATAATGTAGTCTATGCGTTTCCTATGTGATATTCCAGTGCAGGTTAAATAGCGCTTACAAAAAGCACGTACATCAAATGTTAAAAGCAGCATTTAAAACTAAAAAGCTTAAAAATCATACACCATAATTTTTTTGCACTTGCAGATAGTTTCTTAGTGAGAAGATTATAAATTTTTTGTTAAGCATTCTCTGCATCCATCATTCCTGCCTTAACTTTCCTTTCTAGCTTTTCCCTAGTGTTTCTTCACTTGAAATGGTACTTCCATGCATCCTTTTCTCCTCTTATATTAGCTTCGATCCTTCATCTTGATTGTAGATGACTCTTGAATAAAACTGCTCAAAACTGCGAAACGCTAGGTCCAGTCCTCGGTGTTTGTCCACCATTTTGTTTCCATTAGTTCCCAGGGAAGCCCGTGAGTTCAACACATGTGTATTTTGCGTTTTATTGTCACGTGGGCCTTTTCAACCAACGAAAAGGTGCGAAAATTGTCTGATTCCACGGGTGCAATTGACAAACTGCCAAGCGTGCGTTTAAGAGGAGACGCTTCTTTCTACTTCAGTTTAAAGACTTTTTTCTGCCAGGTTCAACAATAAGTATTCCTGACTTGGGTAAGTGATGTTTCGCTCAATTTAAGTTTCGATTTGCTTGTGTTTTCTCCCCTTTTCGTGTATCTGAACAAGTTGGATCGGTCACCATTCGATCATGCTTTCACACTCGTTCGTTTCAGTTATAACAAAATAAGGTTGTTTTTATGTTTATTTGCCCTAAAATCTCCACTTTTCTGTTTCCAGGTACTAATTCGTTGCAGTCACAAGCAAACTGTATGGCACTGACAAGCACGACATCAGCTAAGAGTCAACATGATAAGCAAATTAAGCAAACTTTAACCTGAGGTTTTGATTCTCTGAAACTGCTGCTTGAAAATACTGTATTTGCAATTGTGTTGCATATTTTTTCATTGGTTTTGCAAGTCAAAACCTATTTCTTACCAGTGTGTCACAGTTTTTATAATATTTTTTCTATTCTGGTGATTATAATATTATGACCGTACTTTAAACCTACATTTGCTTGAGCAAATCCAAACCTACATACATTATAAAAGACTATGTCATCTCTATGTAAGTCCTATTTGAACTTTAGTTAAAGGCTATGTATGTGATATGTTTTCCTTACTCCAATACTATTAAAATCCTATTTTAAACCTATGCAAAGACTATTTGTTCTGTGTTTTTCCTATTTTAATGCTACACAAAATATATGTCAACTTTAAGTGAAGGCTATGCTTATCATATGTTTTTATTCCTAGGCTATTTAAATTCTAAGCAAACCCTATTCAAAAGCTATTTAATAAACTGTTCCCTGTTCCATTTTACTATGTAAACTCTATTTCAGGCCTATGTGAAGGCTATTTATTTTCTATGATTTTTCTATAAGGTTGACTATGAGGTCTAAAATCTCTTTCCAAAAGCTAAGTAAATTGTATGTATGGGCTATGTGGAAACTATGTCATTTCTTCCTTTCTTCCTCCTTTTAAAAACTGCATAGCTCTTAAGTAGGTTCCATTTGACTAGTGAAAACATAGCCTTTTCGATACAAAAAAAATTAGTCCTGGCATAGAAACAACATAGGATCTGGTTAAATAGCCTGAGTATCAGGCATTTCCGGGGAAAAGGGGAGAGATGGAAGCGAAAAAGGGAGAGAGCGGAACGAGAGAAACGCCTGACACAGATGCTTTTACTGGAGCCTTCCACCCCTACACAGCTGGATTCGATACCATCCAATCAAAATCACTTCCAGTCATTGGGTTGTCAGCTTCAAGTGTCAAAAAGCTCGCCTAAAATAAATCTCACCTTACGGTCTGGCCGAGCTCCGGCGCTTGTGTTGCTACGATTTCGCTTTTTTCTGAAACCTCCAATAAGGAGATTTTGAATACTTGTAATGGAAAATCTGCCGTTTTTGAAGAATTATAACATGTTTTAGGAATTGTGCTAGTGTAAGATTGCCAATGCTCTGTTTGTAAATAAACGTGTGCCGGAAAATTGAAAATTGCTTTTGTTTACAAAGTTACAACAGGCGCTCATTAGTAAGCCGGTTCCTGAGAGTCTGGCAGCTGAAAAGCTAATGTAGATCAGGCCGAGAATCGTCCGAGGGAAAATCTATTTTTTTCTTAAGGTTTTGTTGGTTATCCCTCATATTCTCGGGTGGCTGAAAGGAGCTGCAAGAATAAATAGGAAGGTGCGATGGTGAAAGACCTATGCTTAGAAAATTATGAAGCAGCAGCAAATTCCACCACTTCACAGAGAGCTTGTGAAAGCTGTTATAGCAAAGGTCAATCCCGTTGGCGAAATATGATGGCGCCCGCTTGAGCTTAAGACGTTTCAAAAGTGAAAAAAATTTTGAAAGAACGAATTCCAATCACGTACACTATCGTAATTATCGTAACCGCCACAAGCAAAGTCACAAAGTCAAGCCAAAGTTAGCCTTGGTGATGTTGGTTATTTTCCATACGTGGCTACCACGCTCTTACAGTAACAATACCCTTTTAACGGCAGGATGTTGTAAATCAGAACTTAGCTATCTGAAGCACTGATATCGTGTCCTTTGTCCCGGTCTTGTGAAACCAATACTCGAACATAGTTGACGCAGAAGCTGGTATATGAAGCTTTTTCATACTCCGAGAACATATTTCCTTTTAATTACGAGGCTTTGAAAACACAATTCTTGTTCGGGGCTTATTTTTATTCCAGGAAAGAACTTTAAAGCGCTCTCTAGAACCTTTGTGAATTCCTTTCTGCGTCTCTCTGCCCATAAAAGTACCACATGAAATCAAAACACCTATATAAAATTTCAATGGCTTCTCCTTGCCGATCGCTCTGATCGTATTTACTTGCGGTCGGTGACGTCATGGGGTATTGTGTGTTATCCAATCACTTCCACATCCAGATTTTGGATGTGTCACTCGATTTGCTGAATGGTTTTGTGTCAGGCCTTCCTTTCTCTTCTCCCCCTCCCCCCTCCCCCGTCTAAACTCTCCTCTCCCGTAGCCCCTTAGGAAGGCCTGATACTCAGGCTACTGGTTAAAGCAATGTATGACTCATTAACATAGGTTTTATATAGCTTTGTGACATAGCTTTTGCATAGATTCTACATAGTGTCTGATTCTACAAGGGAAGACTGATGTGATATTGTACTCCACATGTTCTACACATCGCCAACATTTCAGATCAATTAGGTTTTTGAAAACTTTTGATGGTTTTGTATTCGGTTTTCGGTTTTGATCAAAATCTATTGCGGGTCTCGGTTTTGGGTGATTTTTTTTAGTAGTTTGTTTGTTTTAAAATAGACCCCAACTCCCCCTCCTGATGCATAAAAATCCTAAAAGACACAAAATAATCAACAGCACGCATCCAATCTACCGATCTTAAGACACTTTTGTACGGTGCGCTGTTCATGCGATTTCGGTGGCTGTTATTGTGGCTGTTGTTTAATGATGCATATTTCTTTTAGTCTTTTTGGTGCTTTAAAATAGAAGGAGTATATTTTAATTTTGGTAAACTGTATTAAAAGTTTTGGCATATGTCTTCACGTTAACTGTCTGGTTACATTAAGGCCCAAGCATTTTCAATTACCGTATTTATTCGATTAACCGCCCTGGGCGCTTATTAAATTTTTGGACCTTGAGAGTGGGCGCTTATTCGAGGTGGGCGCTTATTCGAGGCTGGGCGCTTATTAAATTTTCACCATTTTCAGCAAATGAAGTAGGTTTATTTTGCAACAAAACAATAAATGCTAATAACAATTCGCGAAGAAGTAACAAAGCAAGGTTTCTGTAAAATACTCTGAAGAAAACTCTGTCCTCGGGGAAGTCTCTTATTGGAACTTATTCACTTAAGTGGGTGGGTTGGGGGTGAGCGCTTATTTGAGTCTGATTGGGAGGAGGAGGGGTGGGCGCTTATTCGAGGCTGGGCGCTTATTAACTTTTTCTGCCTTTAGGATGGGCGCTTATTCGAGGTGGGCGCTAATTCGAGGTTGGGCGCTTATTCGAATAAATACGGTAATTGTAAGACTTTTTGAAGTGGGAAATATTGGTCCTGGACGGAGACTCCTGACTTTTCGCAAGATAAGTCCCAGTGTACTCAGTGCCATAATTTGTAACATAATCACTGACTCATTCATAATATCAGTAAAAGAAAATAACAAAATGACACAGTTGTAAAAGAAAAAATATTTTTCAAATACTACATGTAACTTGGTACCTGATTTGGGATATAATTTGATTTTTTGTTCCATCCTAAGGCAGATATTTTCATCAGTTACTTCTACGTGAATAAATTTCAAAATTGTCCAAATTGCAGGAATTTTGCCAACACCTGTATTTCCTTTCTGTAATTTAGTAAACAAAAATTTATTCTTACATCATTTCTTCCACTCAAAAATAATACTTTTTCCAACTTATCTTCACGTTCTTCCTTCACGTGTGTACATAAATCTAAGATCTACAGGAGTTAAAGATAATGTTAGCAACGAGCAGATGCACTTTTGCTGTGTAACTGTGCCTAAACATCACTTACATGTTGTTATCTACAGCTTTTGCATGCTTACAGAACATGATTAAATACACGTTAGAAATTCAAGAATTTGAACGTTTGTTGGTCAAGGTTAAAAGCAACATATCTCATTACAATCCAAACTGTTTTTATTATCTTCAGTAAACAAAGTTAAGAAAAAAACCCAAATAATCCTTGATTGCATGTAAAAAGCCAGTACAAAGGCAAAACGTTAATGAAATAAAGCTGCCATTGTTTGGGTTAACAAAAGGTGCTCAAAATTTGAATTTTTTTCCTCATATTAAAGCTACATGTACGATCCGTTAATTATTGTCTTAAGAGAACGAATTAAAATACAACTGGCGAATTCTACGATGAAATACTTTTTAAAATTAAAAACTGCTTAACGATTAAGTAGCTTAAAACACTCATCGGCAAAAGTTCACCGAAATAGTATTTATATACTTAGTATTTTTGCATGCATTAAACCATTTCTTTTGACATTCAAATTTTAAACACAATTGAACATGACACGGCAGTCTCTTGATTATACAGTGACTAACAATATGGGTGCGAAGATTTATGTAAATCAATTCACGACTACACATTTATGAAGTAAAAACTACCATTCGTTTTGATCTATCTGCTTCCATGTAACCTTAAAGAGGCAAACAAGAATTTTAAATACTGGGTTTATATGAACTTTCAAAACTTGATATTGACAAAAAAGGCTAGCGTGATTCTAAAGGTTACGACTGAATGAGGTTTATATTGAAAGTCTTTTAAAATGGCGCACAGGAAACCCTAAAATGTGGTTTTGGAAGCCTCCCAAGAGTCTCAAAAACAGAACAACAAGACAAATATCGTTTTCCCACTCTATCGATTACAACAAAAGGACTGTGGTAAACAACGTTGTTTTGCATTACACAATGTCGAGTATTTCATTCAGGGACACCCCTAGCCTGGAGAACTGAAATTAATACTGAATGGAATGCCGACTTTAAACAGTACGTCCCTTTACGCGTGGATTTTACACTACCTACTCTCAAATCAACTTCGTAACCAACAAACATACAAACTTTATATAAACACAGTATCAGTTAAATCAATTTTGGGAGACCGTGTTCAACATAGAATAAAGTAATAGTAAAACAACAATACGAAGAACTGTTTTGAATTTCCTGACAGCCACTGAACATAGAAATGCTATAAAAGTTAATAAACTGCGGATAAGGCCTGGAAGCGGCAAGGTACTGACCTCTCGAAAGGGAAAGTTTTACATGCGATCTTCATAGCATTTATACTTCAGTAAACCTCGGCATTAATAAGCTGACGCTTTCAAGAGTAAGTAAGCTAACTTAGAAAGAAGGACAAGGAATGCCAAGAAAACTTAAGAGGCGAAGAAATAAAGTTCGCCTAAAATTGGTTGACAAACGAGAAAAGCAGTTGGTGTGAATCTATGTAACAGATTTGTAGATTCGTCTGAGAAAGAAAGCAAAATTGTTAGACTTACCGCGGACGATAACTGTCACACTGTCTTCCATCCGTTCTGGAACGTTATTTAGGTCGTAGCTAACTTGCAGGGTGTAAACATATTCCTCGGTGTTGTCTACATTCAATAACCTCAACGTTGCTGGGAGGTTTGCTCTGTACTCGTTGGCAAAGCCATCAGCTAGACTGAAGGGACTATTGTATTTCCTAGATGCAATTCGGACTTGCTTGATATCCCCCGGCCTCTGTCTTATCAAGAAAAGGTTTTGGACAACCTCGCCATTGGCAGGAAGAATTTCCCATATGAGATCCACTTCTGTGCTGTTCATTCCTTCGACCACGATTGTTGGTTTATCAGGGCTTCTAGTGAAAGTCAAGGCCTCTAAAAATAACACCAAAACCCCCAAAAAATATAAATCAAGGTTTTCCTTTCAACAAAAGAATGATACCTTCCCCTCCTCATCAAAAGCAATTTTGTTAGAAGTAAAAATCTCCGCAAATTTAAGCTCCAAGGCTTACCAGATTGCTGTAATGATGAGGCAACAATCAAAACACTCGCCAATAACCAGCAAGGAATACTCCCTAGATACACTATCATCTTTGCTGTCTTGGATGAATACAGGAACTTTTTTCACCATCTACTTCAACGAGTATTCAGCTACAAGGAATGTTCGTTTATATTTGCTGAATGATATCATCGACCGACGCCAAACGCCAAATGAAGGTGCTAACTGGAGTCCAGACCTTCCCGACAGAGATCCTACTGTTACCATGGTAACTTGTGAGCTAGCCTGCGCGCAGACGAAATTAAACTCTGGTTAACTCCGTCTGCCACGATTGGCCAGTTAAAAAAGGCCTTTGTTTTGTTTGTCGTGATCGCCAATCAGGTTGAAGGGGAATTCGAAACGCACTTCCGGTAATTCGTTGAGTCCGTTGGGGGTCCAGAACAAGGATCTCTGCGGTGCTTCGCAGACGGTACTAATCAGAGTTTAGTTATCGTCTGCACGCAGGCTACTTGTGAGCTAGCGTGAATGGGTTGACTTCCATCAGTTCACTCAATCAGCAATGTAAATAACAATGAACTCAATCGCTCGAATAAATGCGATAATTTCCGTGGTTTTTGAGGTCAAAGTCGGAGAACAATCAGGTATAGCACAATAAAGAACTTTGTCGGCCAACAAGGTCATTTTCCTTAACTTTTTTTTCTTCCAGAAAAGCGAGAACAAGAGTTTACATTAGCGGCTGGTCCCCGCCGCTCGTCTCGCGCTTCTCGCAAAATGTCCTGTGCTCCGGCTCGGCTATCCTTGCATGAGTTCAAAGCGCCTGTCGTACATTCTCTGCACTCTCTTGTGATATCAGGCGATATCAGTAGAATACTCACAGCGAGTGGCAAAGGCAACAACTTGTACTATCAACTGAATGATTATATATAACACTTCAGAAATAAAAAAACACTATTTGTTTTTCGAATTCCTTTAGAGTAATTGGAAAGCAAATGGAGTAGTCCGGAGTATAATCATACTGGATATTTATAGCGGTGACGAGCGCCTAGATCTGGGTAGTGTCTTGGTTGAAGCGAATTTTCCACGTGGTACGGCCAGTCAGAGGCACTACCCGAGTCTGGGTAGTTTGTGTGTAGACTGCGAGCCTGACTGCGAGCAGTCTCTCTTTTTCTTCATATTTAGTAAGGGGAGTGCACACGCGCGAGCGTTGAGCGGCGATGCCGCGAGACGCGTGAAACGAGGGCGGCAGCCCGAGTGCCTCTCCCGTCTCGCGCCTTCGGTAACGCGCTTGGTCATTTGCGTGTCTCGGGCGTTTTGCTCGACGGACCAATTAAAAAGAGAGACTGCTCGTAGTCTAGTTTATACATCATCAGCTGATCAGTATGAAACGTTCGCGGAGAAATCAGTAGACCGCAAGCGGTCTTTCTTCTTCAGACCCAAACGTGGGGACTGGGGAGTGAAAGAGTAAAATTGAAAGATTCTCCTCGCTCATTCTCTCAATCCTACTGTGACTGACCAAAAAAAAAAGAAAATGAAAAAACAGGTATGAGACTGCTCGAAGCTATCGCGGTTAGTTAACCAACGTCGCGAAATGTCAGCTGTTTTCTCAGAGTACTAAAGACTACTCTAAAAGTTTTGCTATCACTCCCTCCAAGGACGTAGTACTTCTCAGTTAGACTTAAGGCTGGTTTTCACTAGCGACGGAGTCGGAGTCGGAGTCGTAATCAGAAGCGTAGAGCTTATGATCTAGTGAAAAAAGCGTTCTGATTCCGCTTACGACTCCTTCGCTTACGTTCCGCTTATGATCTAGTGAAAATCAGATTGTCGGAGTCGGAAGTAGAAGCAGAAGAACCAAACCAATCACAAAGCGTGGGAACGTGCATTGTGATTGGTTTATCGCTTCCGCTTCTGCTTCCGACTCCGATTATCTGGTTTTCACTAGATCATAAGCGGAACGTAAGCGACGGAGTCGTAAGCGGAGTCGGAAGAAATGAAAACGTTCTGATTCTTCTGACTCCGATTCCGTCGCGCTTATGACTCCGCTTACGACCGACTCCGACTCCGTCGCTAGTGAAAACTAGCCAGAGAGCAGTGTGCAGGTTGTTATTGATCGAAGTATTCAGGCTTCCTGCTCACACAGCAGCTTACCTTTTAAATCGTCTTTGCCACACTGATCTGGTCTTAGCTCGAAAATTGTATATAGCATTAGCTTCTAGGTGGCTGTCATACATCAGCTGGTTTGGTACTGGTTAAAAGGACACACACCAAAACATATCATCATGCTTGGTGAAAGACGCCAACATACCCGCCGTAATTCGCCTTTCACGTCTTTATCATATCGTCAACTGATGCAAGTTAGGAAACTTAATATTATATCAGGATTTCATTCTTCACACCCATCTTTGACGTTAGCAGTCTATTAGACAACGAGCAAGCTCTCCATTAGGGGTAGTCGCGGAGAAGTCCCATGCGAAAATCGCGCATGAAAGGAGACGCAAGAGCGAGGGGCGTCAGCTGGCTGGTGCGTCGCTTCGCTTGCCATGGTTAAATGCTCGCAGGCTAGCGATCGTGAGTACAAATGATAAGAAACACGAACTAAATTTAATAGTCCAGTATGTTGTCTTTTTACATGTGTACAGACGCCTCGTCCTCTCATACGCTTTTTTGTCCTTTTAGCGAACAACGCGAAGGGAGAGCCGTTAGGCCCGAGCGAAGGTTCATAAATAGGCCTTTTGCATTAGTTGATCAAGTGATCAACCTTCGGTAAACACGAAAACAGATCGCTTTTGAAAGAGCATATTAAAATAAGATAACCTGTAAATTTTCAGCCCCACCTTTCACATGTTTCAAAAGTAGCGATTGCAACGGCCGCCGAAAATTAGAAGGATTTGTATGAGAAAAACAACTTTTGCCATCCATTCACACAAATCCTTGTAAATTTCGAAATTTTCAAACTGTCGTGAAATATTTCCTTGAACATCACGGGGCTCAAATCTCCTTTAATTCATAACGGGCCCTTTGAGCCCTTAAATGCGTAAGGTAAAGATTGTATGGAAAAACAAATCCTGGCTTCTAGCGGCTTCGGCGGCCGTTGCAATCGCTACTTTTGAGATATAAGGCTGAAAATAAACAGGTTATCTAATTTTAATATGCTCTTTCAGCTTGTGCTAACAAAAATTTTCAAAAGCGAACCGTTTTTGTGTTTACCGAAAGTTGATCACGTGGTCAACTAATGCAAAAGGCCTATTTGTCGCCCACGACGCACACGCAGATCGCAAACGAAGTGTGATCTTGTTTTGGTAATAAATATCGAGTCGAGCTTGCTTACAGATGGTCCAGGCTTAGCTGTTTTTTGTATATATGTATATATTTTTTGTTAATGATATATGAAATAAATCATATATGAACAGCGGAAATGAAATGAAAATGAAGAAACGATCGTCGCAGTGAACGCAATTTATGAAATTGCGTGAAGAAGTCTGAAAGAGTTTTTTTCAGGCTTCTTCACGCAATTGCATAAATTGCGTTCACCGCGACAATCATTTCTTCATTTTCATTATATATTTTTGTTTGTTTGTTTGTCTTTTTAATCACACTTTCCCCCTTGGCTTGTTTCGCTTTAATCTAACTGCTGGCCCATTACGGCCTCGAGAGGTTTTGCCATAAACGTATTTGTAGTGATGTTTATACATGTATATAACATTGGCTCATTCTTCCACTGTGCATACATTATAAATTATATCGAGATTGTAAGGACTTAGCTGGCGCAGTTTGTCCTAAAAATAGCACATTTGACTACCGTATTTATTCGAATAAGCGCCCAGCCTCGAATTAGCGCCCACCTCGAATAAGCGCCCATCCTAAAGGCAGAAAAAGTTAATAAGCGCCCAGCCTCGAATAAGCGCCCACCCCAACCCCACTCCCTTTCACCTCCCAATCGAAAAAAATTGAATAATAACTAATAAGAGACTTCCCCGTAGACGGAGTTTTCTGCAGAGCATTTTACAAAAACCTTTGCTTTGTTACATCTTCGAGTTTTGTTAGTATTGTCTTGTTGCAAAATAAACATACTACACTTTTTGAAATTGTGAAAATTTAGTAAGCGCCCAGCCTCTAATAAGGGCCCGCTTCGAATAAGCGCCCACTCTCAAGGTCCAAAAATTTAATAAACGCCCAGGGCGGTTAATCGAATAGATACGGTATTTCGATGGAACTGCGTGGACCCCGCGCTCGTGGTCTCCTACCCCGACTATGGCTCCTGGTTTATATACTAAAATACGTGAATAGCAGAGCCTTGAGAAACAGAGTGTAAGAGCCAGAAGTAGGACAAAGGGAAAGAAGCCAATAGGTAAAAGAAAATCAGTATAAAAAATATACAAAATTAAACAAAACGGGTCAGTTTTGTGGCAGTTTTTTTTACACTATGCCTTGTTGCTAGGCAGATACACAGCGCCACGCTGCCAAGGATAACGTTAGGTGGGAAAATTATTATGTTTGAAGTGTTTTCCAGTGAAATTCTGCCGGTAGAAGCTAATTTGAATATGGTTGAGGTGTATTTTTCATGAATTCAAAGATACGTTTGAGGAAAATTAGACATAATTATTAGTGTCGTTGTTGTTGACTGCCCCCTCATGCTCACGATCCTTTCTTTGTTCCGTGCTCGTGACATGTTGATCACATCACTTCTTTACATTACTTTACTTTGCTTTTATTGAATTCGCCACCATGACTCAACACGGTCACAGGGATAAAAAAGGATTTACGTTCATGAAAGGTTTTACTACTCCACCGGGGTCAATGCCCCCATGAATCATGGGGCAGGAAAAGGTCCTGGATTGGGGCGAATTGCGTGTACTAATTAGTCTAACTGGCCATAGTTTTGAAAGGCAGAGGCCGGGCATAGTAGAAAAGTTGACGTCGGAAAAAACGGACAGTGCCACGTACCTTTCCATCCGGCGGCAGCTTTCGCGTCCCCGCGGTATTGAGTGTCTGCACCTCAGCCATGGGACTATTCTTGTAGGCTGTCTTCCTCCTGGGCGGCTTCTCTCCTGACCCTGATTTTGATATTGCATCTATCGTGGTTGTCTTCTTTCCGCTTCAACCAAAATAAAAAGATAGACATAAGTTTGAATATTTTGAAAAAGCATATTTGTAGATAGAATTCAAAAGAAACGATTTTCTATAAGTTTGTGTATGTGTGTGTCATTCTTCACACCCGAGCTAACCTTGCTAACCGGCCCGCCGGAATAAAATGCTGTTAAATAACCTATTTAGGAGGAACTAGCTGGTTACTACTTCAACAAAAAGATAAGGCTCAATCTTACCACTTTTAATATTCTTCGCGAAGTTCACTATTGGTTGAATATACTGATTCTCCCTTAGGCATCGTTACCGCACCCTGATTTTGTAGACTTTTGTTGACCAACAAGTCATCTGCATGACCAGCAAGCCCGTCCCTTGACTCGGATTAACGCTTGCGTATGGATTGCTCTGATTGGCCAGCAGATATCATTAGCATAAAATCCTGTTTCAGGTTTGTGCCTGACAATTTTCCGACTTAATTTTCCTTCAGGTTTTACGTGGAATTCTTACAATAACGATAAAGAAGACACTATAAAAACATGTCGAACCGACGGAAGACGGTTAGCCATAAACCTTTCCGTATACGGACTTGACCAGAAAATCCAAAACACAGATTTAACAACATGAGGAACCAGCAGACATCACAACTATAATCAGCTCAGCAAACATCTGAAAATCAGGAGACTCCCAACTCCACAGTCATTCAAATCCCTTTAATTCAAAATAATAATAAGAAAAACTAGTCATAGCATGAACTTAGGAGATTAAAGAAGAGAAAATTGAAAGAAAGAAGTAACCAGTTCCTGAAAATTAAAAGCAACAGGTCGAGGTAAACATTGAAATTTCCAACTTTGAATACCTTTAGTTGTGCGAGTTGTGTAACATGCTCTAGCGTGTGTCCCAGAAACTGCCACAACCGAATCACCTGATGTAGGGTGCTGATTTCCACTGTCGCGTATAATATATATTACGTTCGTACGCGCATAAATAAAATAGTGAGACAATGTATGAAAGCCGCGCGTAAAAGTGAAAGTTGAGCAAGTTCAACTTTTTCATTAACGCGCGACCTTCCATATATTGCCCGTAAATTTACGTGCGTATAAATATCGACAGTGAAAAATCTACCTTTACACTGAATTCCTGATAGCAGGAAGTGTCTGTTGATCATAAGTTGAAAAGTTGGATAAAATTTGAGATCAAATTCGGTCATGCACAGCATAGATAACACATCTGAGACACCACTGTGTAGTTTGTGCGGTGAATCCACCGAGACAGTATACGTATCGCATATTGTCATTGGATGCAGAAGGCTTGCCCAGGAGGAATACAGGAAGCGCCACGACGCGGTGGCTCTACAGGTTCACCGGGAATTATACAGAAAATATGGGTTAGAGTGTAACGACAGTCGTATGACCGTCAACCCTTACCAGTTGCAGAGAATAGAGAAGCCGGAAAATTTGAGATATGACTATTTTACGCACAAGTGGCTAAAGCACAATCGTCCAGATATTACTGTAGTACACAAAGATGCGTAGGAGTGGACAATTATAGACATTGCTGTACAAGCGGATTGGACCAAAATATCCACAGAGCCACGAGAGTGAAAGTAATACCTGTCGTGATTGCTGCACTTGGAACTATCTCGGGGAATGCAAATTGTATAACCTCATTTGGCCTAATACTTTTTACAAAACATAAGTACCGTACAGTATGTGGTTCTTGGTCCGGACGGAAAAGACGTAAATGAGTATTTATTATCTTAGAAGAAGAGTAGTGAGCTGAAAAAGTTGCCGTAACATTTTACTAACTTGTGACAAACCGACAGCTTCTGAATTTTGCCGAAAACCCCGCATCATAGAAAATGACCGCTCCGTTTGAAGGCCCCTTGTCCGGCCAGCATGGTTCCTTGGTCCGGCCACTTTGGTGACTTTGTATGCCGGCATGCAAACTGTGTGCAAAAACATTCCAAGCACCATCTGATCTAAACTTCTATATATTACCTATATATATCATTTAAAACTTTCAAACCAAATTGAGACTTTTGTGTAAAGGGCTATATGTAGTTTGATCGCATGAAGCATTATTATTCGCTTCTGAGCGAATGACTATGCCGTGCAGTTAACGATGCGACGGCAGCGAAATCTCCACTATTTTAAATGAATCCAATAAATTAAAGTTTAGAGAGAAAGAAAAAATTTTCATCGCTTGTTTACGTTCTCAAGAAAAACTGCTTATCAGGAAATTTTATGTTTTAGACCCTGTTTACATGGAGTGGGGCCCCCGGTCTAGTGGGGTAAGTTTCTTTTGTTTTGTGTCCCCCAGAGCGTGAAAACAAAAGAAATTTACCCCACTAGACCGGGGTCCCCTACTCCATGTAAACAGGCCCTTAAAGTTCCTGGGATTAGCCGTGCAGCAACGACAAAGAAATCCGACCGAAAAGCGTGCGTCACCATCATAAACGTGCAGAGTAATCAGTGTTTTGCTCGTTAAAACCCATTGATTGAATTTTTTGACTTTCCAAAAGCCCTCTTTAACCGTGAATTTGACGGACATAAACTTCCTTGTTATGTCCTTCTATATTTAGCAATTATTGAATTCGGCTTTCGTAGGATATGAAGAATTCTGCAGATCGAGGAGGAGGATGTTATCCACGAGCCCGAAGGCTGAGGTGGATAACACCCTTTTCCTCGATCTGCAGAATTCTTCATATCCTACGAAAGCCGAATTCAATAATTGTTTTATTATTCCTGCAAAATAATTCCAAGTTTAAAAACAAGCTAAAACATGCTAACCTTGGTCGATGTAAGTTGATATCGATAATACATCTTTATCAGGAAGTGTAGAAGATGAAAGTCTGTTCAGGTCTACAAATATACTCCAAATAGCAGATGTCGTCCGTCTTCATGCTGTTCTTGCCATGTTTTTGGACAATATTTCGCCGAGAAAAGAGTAAAATGTTCCGCCGACTCTTCCTTCATTTTCTTCTAACTACCAAAACAACTCAACCTCGTCCCCAGGTTTTCAAGGTCAACAGTTCAATAACCTGCAACCAGGCTGCACTTTTGACGTCATCGGTTCAATATATATGACAAAATTCTTTCCGAAGTTGGTCAACCGTAGCTGGTTATAGTGAATTATGTGTGTGGTTTTTACCAATCAGAAACGGGGAAATATTTTGAATGAATAATAACATTACCTTATAAATAAAGTGCCGTGCTCTTGGGAAAGTCTCAAGCAAAAATGGTCAATATATTTAACTTATTAATAAATGATGCATGCGGCTTCTTATTATTTACTCCAATCATTGAAAATGCGTTACTTAAAATGTGTCTCAAATTTGAAAGATCCTCACTTCACTTCACGAATGTTAATTTAAGTCTTACTAAGAACTGAACGAAAAGAAAACCGAACTTTCTGAGCCTCTCCTGTTTCAATGACTATTATCATCTGGTGGCCGGACCAAGGACCTAGTACGCAAAATTAAAATGAAATATAAAAAAAAATTAAAATTACCTTATTAAGTACATAACTTGGACTTTAAAATTGAACCTGTCGACCGAATTTTTTTTCCAGTCAAAAAAACATTTCTTGTACGCCGTGCAAACCAAAAATTAGCTTTCTCAACGAACTTAATAGCATATGCCTGAATTCAAAATATATCCAAGCAATTTAAGAAAACATAGCAGAACAAAATTGACCTACGTTCGCGTTAACTTGATTTTCCAGCCTCTGCTAGCATCAGGAAAACCTCGAATCTAGCTTAAAAAGGCAAATAGATCAATAAACAGTCGCAAAGTTTCGTTTGTATTGTAATATTATTTTCTTCCCGAAAATTACATCACAAAGTAAAACCTGCCGGGCAAGCCAAACCAAGGACCACAAATATATGTATATTATATATATATATATATAGAGAGAGAGAGAGAGAGAGAGAGAGAGAGAGAGAGAGAGAGAGAGAGAGAGAGAGAGAGAGAGAGAGAGAGAGAGAGAGAGAGAGAGAGAGAGAGAGAGAGAGAGGATGGTTTTGAACTTGTCATGCACGTCCTTCTTCTTGCAAACGGTTTCCCGCGAAAATTTAGCTAGGGGTGTGTGGAATGCTTCGTAAAAGCTCGAACTTATTTCAAACCAAAACTGGTGTGTGATTTATTCTATGAGTTTAGACATGAACTCAGTTTTCTCAGAGGAGGTAGTATCCATGGTATGACTGCTCGATGTCCTTAATACATACTGTACACTTATATCATGATCATGTCCAGAGCAATTCTCTCTTCTCGGTTCGTGTTCGGGGTCACTCTTTCCAGTCAACACATCAAAGGGCAGTTTTAACAGCGGCCATTAACTATTAATTTTAACGATTTACTCGATGGACTGTCTGTAGGCCGGGTCTATATTCTGCGACAAGTTTAAGTTCATCTCAGTCTTTTTCTGAAAGGCTTACACTGTCACTTATGGGTGTATTCATATTCATTTGCACATCAAAAAGTAGCCGGCACAATTTTCTCATGTAGTTTTTACCAAACGATTTGAAACCGCGCAATTTCTCTTCCTATAACCAAAAAGAGCTTCCTTATATTTCCCTGGGAGCAAAGTCCCTTCGATCTTCCATACTTGTAATTCGCAATTCCCTGTCCTCTCTCTCCACGTATACAATGTAATCATCTAGGAAGATCGAAGGGCCTCTGTTCGTAGGGTGTCCCTATTAATGAACCCCTCAAAAAAGAGCATTTGATTACTACAACGCGATATATTTTTATGAAGCCCAATAAACGCTTTGTTTGTCTTGTTTTTGTCAAAACCACGTTGACTTGTCGGCTTACAGAAAGGAACCGGCCCCCTGGATCGGAGATACCGCGACTTCCCTCTGCTTATGTATAAAGCCGCCGCCCTCCCCTACTCGTGTTATAGCTCCCACCCAGCAAGTCCATTCTCTATCGCCGTCTACTCCCCGTATCAGGGAGAATTCCTTCTTTTTGAGGAATATTAGAGCCGCGCTGTTTTGAAAAACTAAAGCTTGGTAAATTAGCTCTTTATGGTTTTACAAAGACTCACAACGTCACTTTCTGATTTAGTACTGAAATATGCTTTTTCGTCGGTTGCCTGTAAACGCGAATTTGAGTGTATATTTGTTATAAATATATGAAGACGGAATCCACCAGGAAATTGAGTAATTTTAATTTCTAGTGGACAAAAACCTTGTACCAGAATAATTTAAAGCATATTGCGTTTTTTTTTTAAAATTTTTCAAGGGCTAAAGATGTAAATAGTCATCTGTAATAAAACCAAAGAAAATATCTTACGAGAGCCCGAGATGAATGTCAAATTTCACAAAATTACATCTTACACATGAAATTTTCAGAATATCACCTGTGTTTTCACAATTCTTGTGAAATTTGACATTTGTTTTCTCGGGCTCAAATAAGAAATTTTCTTTGGTGTTATTACAGATGACTAATTACATCTTAAACCCTTGAAAAATGTAAAAAAGAATGCAATATTCTTTAAATCATTCTGGTACAGGGTTTTTGTCCCTGTAAAGTTAAAATTACTCAATTTCCTGGTGGATTCTGTCTTAATATTTTTGTTTTCATGTCAAACCAATACTATGTCAGTAAGGTTCAAGGCTCAAGAACGAGAAAAGGTTTCTGTATTTTCTGATTTTGGAACAAACGCGAGCATCGGCATTATACTGCACAAGCACCACTTGATGCCAGCGCGAACAATGAGTGTATTCGAATATATTAAGTACATTTAGAACGTTGTGCTCACTTACAAATTCACTCGACACTGCTAGGATCTAGGAAAAGTTATCAAACAAAATGATAAATTGCTAGCTCAAGCGACAGCCCTTTGCAATTCTTTTCAAACGCTCGTCTGAACAATTTCAGAAAACGCCAGATAGGGAACTGTTTCTAGCCTTGTTTCGTCATTCGAAAAGTCAGATTCACCTGCCTCGGCTGTTGGGTAGGTAAAGAAAAGTACGTAGTCTACATAGGTTTTCCTTGAAGAAAACCACGTTGCCTCAATTTATATATGCGTTTATTCAGTTTTTCCCATAATTTCATGCACAAAATTTTGACGTAACCCTTTCGGAAGATCAAACAAAACCAAATGAGTTTTTCTTGTGAATATTTTTTACCAGGGTGGTATTGAGACATACGCACACAAACCGCCAAGCACAAGGCCACTAAGCTTTCTATAAACCTGCTTCTGGTTGTAATCGACGTAAAAAGAAATAACGAATACAATAAACGAAAATGGCTAACTTTTTACCTTTGTGACTGTGTTGCGTTTTCTTGTCAGAGAAAAGGAACTCTGAATACTTCGTGCTGTAAATATGGTCCAATCGGTAACATAAATAGTTTAACGACACGAGCCTGCCGCATTCCTGTCTTCCATGCTTGAAACCAGCACTAACAAACGGCGATATCATGATTTCCAAGTCATCGTCAAAACCAAATGGACAAAAATGGAAGTTTCTTAGACAACGCGATTAGTGTATCTCTTGCAGAAAGTGCTTCGTGTATTTCTTGCATGATTTAAGTTCTCTCTAGTGACTATCATGTTCTTTACCAGCAGCAATATCAATGATAAGCTGTCAGTGTCAGATGAAAACATTCACTGACATTCATGAATAAATATCGGGGAAAACGTCGCGCAATTTCTAAACAGGTGACCCTATAAACTTGCTGTATTCGCTCGAACACGTGTCGCAATTACGGATTCATTCAAAGCTGTAGCCGAGAGGAAGGGAAAATAAGTGTTGTAACAGGTGTGGCTAGAGAAGCACGCTAAGTGAAAGAAAAACGAAAAAACATATTGTTGTGTACACGTTTGATATCCCTCGTGTCTATAAAGTGTTGTCTCAAGTACTTCACTTATAAATTCGCAAGTAACTGGCTGTTAGGAACTAGTCTTACACCTTTGCGCAGTCAGTTAATCCTTTCGATCAAGATGGTTGCATCTTTGTTGTTTGCTATACACTCATCTCTAGCAGCGCTGTTAATGTTTGTAACAGTACATCAATCCGGTAAGCCGAAGCAATGCAATTTGTTTAATTATTTAATACGTTATCATTCACATAATCTTTGTTATATAGACCTCCATGATATTTTGATTCCTTGCTTGTTGTTTCAGAGGCTATTGGGTGGAGCAAACAGCCTACCAAACCAACAATCCTGGTAGAAGGAATTAACAATACTGATCAGTCCCTCGTCTGGGAATTTTTCCTTGAGTCAAACGAGACTGTTCAAAACGTTTTACTTCAAAGAAAAAAGCCTGGAGAAAAGAATCCAACCACATTCGCATCCAGACTCGCTGGCTCCTCGTTTACCTTATTGGATGGTACATACAGGAAAGAGTACGGTACAAGTCTTCCGAATACGCTTATTTTGAGAAATGTCACAAATGACGAGGAATTTATTTACTTAATCGTGGTAAATTACATTAAAAACAACGTTGCTCAACCTCGTAAAAGTGATCAAGTGGAATTAATTGTTTACGGTGAGTAATGATTTCTTAATGGTGTGCTGTTTGATTTCGCCATCTCCTAGACTATCAAAGATCAAGTGATTCCGCATCGTAGTTTACTGTCAGATACCTTCAAGCCTATGCGTTAGCAGGTTTTTACCCATGGCTTATATAAACTGATACTACCATAACTGCTTCTAGTTTTGAATTAATGATGAATGGATAACTTTTGATTTATCTCCAAAAGTATAAGCTTTCGCAAAAGAGAAAGCTAGCATCAACCCATGTGAAGCATTTTAGATATGTACCCTAGCTTAAAAATTAAAAAAGAAACTGCTACCTTCAAAAATACGAAAGTATTAAATCAAAATCTTAGCATTTCGTGGTCAGTGATCTTCTGGCTACCGTTCAGTAGCATTTGGGAAACAACTATGGAAGTCAGTCTCTCCTACATTTTTTTGAAGTCATTCAGGGACGCTAAGCCTGCCAGTCAATTTTTGCACACACACCAAAAAAATCAACCATGAGAGCAGTAAAAAACAATCAACTCTAAGTGAGGATAAATTATTAATAAACAGTATTCTTTACCAAAATCTTAAAAAAAGCTGCACACAAAACTTCAGTAAAACTGATATTCATAAAAAGAAAACGTAAATGTCAATACAAAATTCCGGCAAAACCCCTTCGCAATTCAAAATTCCAAAAAATCACATAGAGTTATAAAAAAAATGAAGTCATTATCGATAAATAATGGCATGTTTTATTCCCCTAAAAAAATGTCAATAGACTACTTTTAAAAAAAAATGAATATCGTGATAACAGAACATAGTTTCTCAGTAAATGTAGATATGTAGATTCGAGAAAAAAAAGAGTAAAAATTTTGAAACAGTTTATTAAGCAGAAAAACCTTTGTCATGTTATATTTTCCACCTTAACTTGAAAGGTCATGATGAGATGTTTGGTGACATTGTGCGTGGTTAAATTGATCGATGAAAACACTTACAAAATTAATATTGGATGTGAAGTCATGCATCCTTTACTGATTCAATATTTTGATATCTAAAAATATGGCTTACCTTTTGCATTTAACAATTTATTTATCTTATAAACAAGCATGCATTAAGAGAATTTAAACCTTGGCCTTTTTTATTCATTTGAAAAGAAAATTCTATCCTCATTCTGCCAGCCCAATTCTCCGACCTCATTTAATTTTATGGTCGCCAAAGTGACGGGATGATCGTGTAGGCTTGGAAAATATCAACCAAAGCTTGACCAATAACAGCAGAGGTTATCATAGAAACCATATGGAGCTGATGAATAAAAGTTGTAAATGTGATTCTTTAACATTCCTGCTCTAAGGCCTGGTTGTCACTAGCACATAAACATAAGCATAAGTCGCACGCACAGAATGGCATATTTGACTCAATTCTCTATAACAGCTCTCCTCAACCCGATGGTAAACAAGACGGCAGACGCTTCGTCCGCCATATTGCTTTTGATATATTCGCATGAGGTCTGGGTCAAAGTGGCTTATGATTGGTCCACGTCCTTGTGTTTATGCTTGTGCTTATGTCGCCCCCGTTTTCACTAGTGAAAGCTACGACATAAGCATAACCATAAGCACAAGAAGAACGAATTTGTCCGTTCTTCTTGTGCTTATACTTATGCTTATGTCGACCCAGTTTTCACTTGTATACACTTAAGCAATAGAAAACGTTTTCCGTGTTTGCACAGCCTGATATAAACACGAGAGGGGTTGGGAGAATTCGAGACAGTTATGCAAACCCTCGACTTCGTCTCGGGTTTGCATAACTGTCGAGAATTCTCCCAACGCCTCGAGTGTTTACATCAGGCTATGCAAACACAGGAAAAAAGTCTTCTATTGCTTTTATAAAATAACTTTCCGGGAGAAAAAAACGCAAAACTCTTTGTATGGCTCTGCTTAAAAGAAAAATTCTTACCAGTCGCAAAATCTTGTCCACGAAGTCTTGCACGCATAATCAGTTCTTGTTTTGCAAAAAGATGCTTTGCAAAGTACGGATTTTTCTCTCTTAAAACGGTCAGCTTAAGAGAAGAAAAATGTACACACCTTCTTTGAAACGATTTTCCAAGTTTCAGCCGACGAAGGAATGGGTAAATAAAGTAAACTTTTTGAGTTTTGAACTCGAAGACTTTTTCAAATTTGTGCTTGCGTAATTAGCGCGCGAAAAACCAAACAACTTGACGCCAAAACCATGTTTACATACTCTCATGCAAACACTCCTCTCGGCCAATCAGAGCGCGCGTACTATCTTAGTTATTTTATAAATGTGCTTGTGCTTATGCTTATGCTTATGAGCTAGTGAAAACCATGTTTAAGTTTCCTTTTAATAACTGATTATCAACTTTGCATTATTATTTTGCTAGCTTCGAAATCATATGATAATTTTATGAGAGAATCACAACATATATATAGATTTAGCCAGGGCTAAAAGCGAAGCTCTCGATAATATTTATAGTTTGCCCAGACAAAATATATAATCGTGTAATTATGCCAAGCGGCGAAGGCAACGAAAACGGCGAAAAAAAACAACAATGTGTCTTATTAGCAAAAAAGCAACTTTGTACGTGTAGCACAGTTTGTTTGCACATTTCTTTGCCGTTATTTTGCACGACTACACCGTGAAACTTCCAGAAACTTCCTAGTTACAGGTGTTATAGAGAAAATTTTGCACGTGTTCATGTTCAGTTTTTTTTCAGTGTCGCTCATTTTCACCTTGATGGCCGCTAGCATTTCTTATTTCCTCACCGCCGCTACAAAATTTTCATGTTGATCTTCCAACAAAAAATGTCTACTTTGTCTTTTATTTCTCGCTCTAGCTGTCTGTCGCCTACTTTCTCATTTTCTCTGTCTTTCTCTTTCTCTGTATTGTAATAATACAGTAATACTTTAGACAACTTGGATCCAGAAATAATTTCCCCTTTCCGTATTTGTCTTTATTGACTCTTGTGTCTCTGCTTCACTAGACGCGGGTGGCTATGCGACTTTCCGCCACAATGACCTCGAGCTGCAATACCTGTTGATTGAGTTATTTTAAATTAGTTTGCCTGTGGTGCGGACGGACGGACGGTCGGTCGGTCGGGCATACGGTAGATTACCACATTTTCTTAGGTATGGGGCTGCGCTCGCGCGCGCTTCACGAGCGTGGAGGTCCGCCATAAGGCAGCTGGAGTGTGCCTAGACATGAAACTTCAAATTCACTAAAGTCAAAACGCCTGGCGTTCAATCTATTCAAACATCCTACTAAACTTATTAAACTCTCTCGGCTTTTGCAAGACTATAAGGAGGATGGGTGGAGGAGGGGGCTGGGGTAAAATCGTTTGTGGGTGCCTGAAATTCTTTCAGGCACAGTGTGCAACTGAAAAGAGGAGAATGACATTTTGTTGGGGGTTTTATGAGCTTTTTTCCTGCCCTTTAATCAACTTTGGCCATTTTTTACATTCCAGTTCCTCCAAAAATAACTAAGGAGCCTGTGAAACAGTCAGAAGTAGACGTTGGACAAAACTTGATGCTCTCGTGTGAAGCAGATGGCGATCCAACGCCAAAAATCATCTGGACCAAGGACGGAGTCCCTTTTAAACAATTTAATTCTAGTGGTTCCGATCTACATCTCACAAATGTACAGAGGGGGAATGTTGGATCCTACAGATGTACAGCAACAAATGCATATGGAAGTACCACCAGTATCGCCGTCGTTAACATAAACTGTAAGTAGCAGTTAATATCAAATAAAATCATTTTTAGGGGCCGTATATGTGTGGAAATAATTTAATAGGAGAATCATTCATGTCTTGCATTCAAACACCTTCTAGTGTTTAAATCATGCTATGCAGTCACGAAAAAATGTTTTCTATTGCCAAATCAAATGTAAGCGGGACCAACGTAATGGCCACTTACGGGTAATACACCTTGGTCGTCAACGCTGTGAACGGTGGATTTGTTTACTCAAGTAGATCTGAGTTAAGGCCTGGTTCTTTACAGATTCCTCGGAAATTTAAAGGGAGTGGTCTAATGTAAATTAACAATTAATGAATAAGGCTGAGTATCTTATGAAGAATTATGGAGATCGAAGAGAGGAGGGTGTTATCCGTCGAGGCCGCAGGCCGAGGCGGGTAACACCCTCCGACATCTCCAAAATTCTTCATATGATACGAAAACCGAATTCAATAATTGTTTTATTATTCATTCAAAATAATTCCTAGTTTAAAAACAGCTAAAACACGCTTACCTCCATCGATGTTAAGTTCATCTTCGATAGTGCGCGTTTAGGGTTGTTCAGCTCCGCAAATATTCTCCAAATAGCAGATGTCGCCCTTTAAGTTGTCCCCTTGCTGTTCTTGCCATGTTTTTAGCTATTATTTCGCCTAGTTGTTACTCTTGAAACGAGTGAAATGTCTGCCATTTTTGTTTTCACAACCAAAACAAATCCCCCTCGTCCTCAGGTCTTCTCGGTTAACAGTGCATTAACCTGCAAGGAAGCTGCCCTTTTGACGTCATCGGTTGATTAATCGCAAAATTCTTCCAAATTTGGTCATCAGTAGCTGGTTATGGTGAATTATGCGTGTGCTTTTAGCCGATCAGAATCGGGGAAATATTTGAATGAATAATAAGTTCTCTTAAGATATCCCAGGTCTAATAAATTAAGGCTAACCATAACTAAGAAATCTTCAAATTACATTTTAAAAATTGTTTATAACTGCATCACGTGACATGCCACACCCTGTTTTATCGAGAAATCCTTTGGGTCAAAATGCCCACTATATAGAAAACAAGCTGTTTTCCTCTTGTAGGTCCAAACAGTGGCTATTCATAGTCTTCTTGTAAAAACGGTTGGAATGAGCCGAAGTGATTTAAAGTCTTTCTCCTAACAAAAATTTTAGTTAGAGCAGAACTGGCACTAGTCAATGAACACCAATTGCACCTACAAATTTTAAAGATTCCAACCATTCCGCGCAGATTTCGTAGACACTTTGTAGGGTCAAAGTTTTGATTAAAAGAAACTGGAGCTTCACGTTTAGCAAGTGATGGGCATCGTTGGTTGCAATTTTCGAACAGAAGAGGGCGTGGTCGATCACGTGACTTGGTAATCTGGATTTCTTTTTTCAATTTTTTTAAGGTTAGTTAACCTTATTTTCTCTTATTCTTGGGGGATGTCTTTAATCATGGTTTTTGCAAAAATTTGCTTAAAAATCACAAATGACTTAGAACCAGGCCATGATCAACAACCGTCTGATCAACCCAGCCTTATCCCTATCTCTGTTAATGACAGGTCCATCAAACCACTGTCAAGTCCAATATGTTGGAATAACGATATTAAGCGTGGAATGGGACATGGCATTTGCAAATAATCGGTCAGTCAAGCAAGAGATTTTTAAGGCGAATTTGTCATCAGCAGTAAGTTGTCGACCGTATGTGTGCTTTCTTTATTTTAATATTTAAATCATGATACTGTTAGTAGGCTTTTTACTTCGGGCAGGGGAAAATAACAACGTAAATTACAAGATGAATTTGGCCACTGTTTAAGCATATAAAGCTGGAAAACCCCGTTTATACGGAGAAAAATTGTTCCTGGTAGAAGGACCTCTGTCCTGCCCTTACCTGGGCCAACCGGCTTTTCTTACATAGTGTCCAGGCCACCCCTTTCTGAATTTTCTCGATCCGCCCGCCCCTGCGTCCTAACTTCCTAATTTGAGAAAATTTGACCTGAATCCGACGGATACCGTTTGCCGATTACTGCCTTCCTCTCAGACGTTCTTAGGGGTTCGTCACGCGTTCCTGCCTCACGAACGTCTGCTAAAACTAGTGGTTAAAAAAAATTCCTTTCCTTTTCGCAAATATTAACTGGAGCTCAAGTGCAGATTATCGGAGAACCAATCGGCGCTGTTGGAGTCAAATTGTTGACAAGCCAAACATGACGCACAAGCTCGGTAGAGTGTGATACGTGACCAAAGAATTTTGCTCGGGGCCAAAAATTTAGGAAATAAGGGTTAGCTTTTTGTAAATTTCTCTCTTCATGTAAACACTGGATAAGATGCTATTTCCTCAAAAATGTTTTCTTTTGGAGAGGCAAAGGTGGGATTGGTACGTTGTAACTGAACAAGAGGCAATTTTATTTTCGTAGTTTATTGTTATGTAACCTCCGTTCAGCAGTTTTAACCCTGCGAGGTAATTTTTTCAATGAGATTGTGAGGTTAACCTCTAGTATGAAAACTTGTGAGTTAACTCATAAGAATAGTTCGTTTTAAAAGTGTGAGATGAGACTTTCTGATCTTTCTTGGAGTCTCGCGACATTTCGCAAGGTCCAAAGTGTACTTCCCAGATCTGGAAGTGTGCTGTGATTGGTATAAATATTTTTCCCGCTCGTTTCAGCGGACGTTCGCTGGGAAGGGTTGCGTGACAAGCCAAAAGAACGTCTGCCGGAGAGGCTATTGCCAGGCGTAAACTTTATTCTAAATAGAAAAGTCGCTGCAAAGATTTAAAAAAAGAATAACGGCAAAGTATTAGTCCCAAATTAACTTCCAGCCCAGGTTCCTGAGAATGGTTATCACCAATGCAGTTTGATTATCAGTGTCTAATCTCAAGGCTTTTGTTCAATAGATCTCACGTCTCTACAGCATGCCTCACAATGCTGAGAAGCAGCTCTTTAAACTGACTGTTGTAACATTTAGGTAACTATCCACACTTTTTGTCTCATATTAACATGTATGTATATTTCCCATACTTTTCTGCAAGCATTTCTTATGAAGACTTGTTAATATATATATTTTTTTCACATAATATTTAGTTTAAAAGTAGTGATTTTATGAGGACAATTCTGGGTGATAAAACGCGTTAAGAACAAAAAAATACCGAAGGAGAAATCCCTTTATTTTAAGAATATTCAGGGTTGTCAAGAACATCACTTCATACTCTCATTAGCTGCGCATGCTTCACTTAAGGTTCTGGGTATTGTTTCCTATGAATTTTACAGCGATTGCCGTATTTACTTCCATTATGTCTCAATTCGGTCTCAATGGAGTTCGATACACTGGTCGCTGCAACAACTTCGTATGTCTTAAATCCTGATTAATGTTCTCGTTATTTTCATTTTAGGCGAAGAAGTAGCACATGCATGGCTGTTGTACAGCTTCAATTCCAAAAAGACGTAGACGATCCGTTAAAGCCTCTCAGAGATGACATATCGGATGGATATTTAAGGATGTTCAAAGTTGAAAGGCAATTGGATCTTAATCCAAGTATGTTTGATCCACTCACTATTTTCGGTTCGTTCACTCGAAACATTTTGGACATAAATCAAATGGACATTTAGCGAAGTGTTTCCTTTCTACACATAAAACTGATAGCAAAAAAGGTTTCAAAATAACGACTTTTGAAACACTAATTTGACGAGGTACAACCATGACTTGTTTTATGAAATTGCATGAATTGCTTTCACATCCATTCGTACTATCCTTAGAGCTACTTTGTGAAAAGAAAAGTACACAACATCGACAACATAGCGAAAAAGGCTATACACTCTCTATATATCTATCTTGTTCGCCAGACTAAGTAACAATGCAATTTCTAGCATTGGCGGTCATGTATAAATAAATAAATAAATAAATAAATAAATAAATAAGGGTATCAGTTGTTATTTTTCATATCTTTGGTTACAACTTTTGTCTCCCTTCTCTTAACCTGACACTGATATAACTTTTAAATTTTGTTTCTTCTAGTTCCTACTACAAGCTCACGTCCTACTTCCTCACGTGCTGAATCCAAACATATACAGAGAAGAGGCATTGTTGGAGAAATAATTTTGATTCTTCTTTTTCAGCTGTTTCAGTTGTTTCTACCTGAGTTATAAAATGCGAAAACGATACGGTATTAGTTGCCTTTATTATAATAAACGTATCCCGTCAATCGTCCCCATTTAACGGGGAGATGAAATGATTTATAATATTAAAGCGAGCAAAATACAGCTGTTGAGTAGAATACAACTGAACTTGAGTTTTCTAAAAGCACTCTGGTGAGGTGACGAGGGTAAGCCCCAAGTCGAACCCGGTAGACATAAAGAGTGAATCTTTACTGTGAAATAAAATCATGATCTCATCACCTGCTTGTACTCAGTTTAAAAAAATACTGTACTTCTTTCGTTTACAAGGGTCCGGACAAGTTTTTGAACGGACATATACTAAATGTTTACTCGGGACCCTTAGAACCGAGCAAGTTTTTAAACGGCAAAAGTGCGCCGGGTTGCACAGGTAAAAAATTCGTCCGTCCAAACATTCGTCCGGACCAATGTAATGTAAATGGGGTCTAGAATATTCATGTGCCGCGTTCACTCTCGCTAGGCTTTAGTTAATGAATTGGAATGAAAATAAAAGCTAAGTTTAGTGGAGAAAAGTAGCGTTAAACCAACAGCTTTGCCTAACCTAATCACGTAATTAAAATATACTTGGAGACTGTAATTGTAATCCTTTTCATGCTTCAGACAAATAAGACATTTGGGCGAGTTTTTCATTAAATATGTAAATTTATTTACATTGTGCGAGCCGCGCCGAAACGTTTCTTTGTAACTACCACGTAAAATAATCAAAGAAAAACCAAACCAAAGTCTCCAGGTGATTTTAAAAAAGCAAAAGGCCGCGCGCGAGGAGAACGCGAGACCACAAAAATACTGTTTTCGAAATGTAACCGAATTAGCAGGGATTCTCCGTGAACGGATCGTAACAGAATTGTTCTAAATAAATATCAAAAAGAAAAAGAAAAGCCTCCTTCCGAATAAATGGTTACATACTGTGCTTTCCAGTTTCCAGGACGTACTAAAAGTGCCTGAAATGGGAATTTTGCTATGCGTGTTTTATTTGTAACGAGTAAACAAATCTTTTACTAATAAATGCCGAAAAATGTAACTGGAGGAGGGTCTCTTACAAGAAAATCTCCTATTAAAAAACACTCTAAGACACACATATAGCTTTTATAGCTTGTATACTCCTTAATTTTCCAGTTATCGCGCAAGTGATCTCGTAATACCTTGGTGTCAAACTCACAGCATCTGACTCGCACTTGGGAGTTTAGAACTTCATGGCTTTAAAATAAAAGTCGCTTAATCAAGCTATAACTTATTAACCCTTAATTTTCTTCTGTGCGCAGTAATTTCATAATACCGTGGTGTCTAACTCACAGAATCACGGGCGAGCCACCTAGTGTTTCTGTTGCTTTAAAAATCGCACTTGGGAGTTTAGAACACCATGGTATTGCAATAAAACTCGCTTCCTCAGGCTAAAACATATCAGACATATTAACCCTTAATTTTCCTCTTTTCGCCCAAGAAATTTCATAATACCGTGGTGTCTAACTCACAGAATCACGGGCGCGCCACCTAGTGTTTCTGTGGCCTTTAAAATCGCACTAAGGGCCTGTTTACACGGAGGTGGGGGACCCCAGGTAGGTGAGGTAACATGTGGCAGGTCACCCCACCTGTCATGTAAACGTGATCAAACTAAAATGAGAGATTATATGGACAGGCAGGTTACCCCACCTAAGCGGGTTACCTCACCTTCCTGGGGTCCCACACCTCTATGTAAACAGGCCCTTAGGAGTTAAGAACACCATGGAATTACAATATAACTCGCTCACAAGTGCTAAAACACACATAAATTGTGAATGTAGACATGCTATGGGAGCTCGTTCATTCTATACCTCACCGCTTAGAAAATGTCAGAAATCATAAAGGAAGACATTCTGGTTAATTGCTAAGATTTCAGATAGCCAATGTTAAATGAATAATGAATAACATGCTTGGGTTTACAAAAGTTATCTTTAATAATCAGTGAAATTCTAGTGAAGAAAAAATTGGAACGAACTTTTGAAACACCCTGTATATCAAACCTTTGAACTTCCACTTAGTGCGCAAGTGATTTCATAGTACCGTGGTGCTTAACTCACAGAATCACGGGCGCGCCACTTAGTGTTTCTGTTGCTTTAAAAATCATCGCACTGAGGAGTTAAGAACACCATGGCATTAAAATTAAACTCGCCGCACTTATAGCAAAGTTTTTTTCAACCTTGAAACATGTTAAGGTGCTTCCCTTACCAAACCATGTGTATTTTGAAACTGATTTTAAAGTATTTAAAATGTGTTTTCAGTATTTGAACACTATTTTACTGTATTTTAATCCTGTTTGACAAAGAAATTTAAATTTTCGCCCCTGTTTGAAATATATCTTGAGTGTAGTTAAATTGTATTTCATGAAAACGAAAACCTCTCTCATCAATTTACAATGTATTTTGTTTAATAAATATGATTAAAATAGGGTATTTAAAATGTATTTTGGGCATAGAACCACTAACACTGTTACAAACAGAGTTCAAATAGACTATTTGAAATCTGTTTTAACGGCTTTTATGCTGACTGTATTTAAAAACTTTTAAATAGGGTACTTTAACACTGTTTTGAGTTGTATCTAAAATGTAGTTTGAGACGCATCCACTCACAAAGTTACAAACATAGTTCAAATAGACTATTTGAAATATGTTTTAAGAGCCTAAATGCTGACCGTATTTTAAATCCTTTTAAATAGAGTACTTTAACACTGTTTTGAGTTGTGTCTAAAATGTATTTTGAGACTCATCCACTCAAAAAGTTACAAACAGAGTTCAAATAGACTATTTGAAATATGTTTTAAAACCTTAAGAACTGACCGCATTTTAAATACTTTTAAATGGGGTACTTAAACACTGTTTTGAGGTATATTTGAATCGTAGTTTGGGCTCACAACACTCTGACTATAAAAACAGATATACATAAACTATTTTAAGTCTGCTTAAAGACATCAAATGCTGACCTTACTTTAAATACTTTAAAGTACTTATTACTTATTATTACTGAGGTGCGATATTGTAATGTACTTTGGGATACTCAGACTATAAAAGTAACAATTGCACAAAGTTAATTTTTAAGCCTTCATAGTGTCACGAACTCATAAATGACTCAAAACAAGCTGTCACATATTGTAGACCGGATTCTCCTCTCAACAAAGTTCGAAGCTGAGCGAAAAATTAAATCCAAATTAAATAAAAAAAGAGAAGAAAGTTAGGAATAGATTTTAGCTTTGACTGCAGACAACACGTAACTGTGACAGTGTGCCGATAAGAGATCAATCCGTTCCTCAATGTTCATTACCTGCAAGCTCTCTGCGAAAATCTCCTCGTAGACTTTAGCCGTGATTCAATTAATGCAGTTACGGCATTCCATAAGTTTTTTAAAAGAAACTTCTTAAAATCTCATTTTAATGGAAATTTTTCACAAACAACCGAGGCCGCGGGCCGAGAACCGGATGCACGCGGTCAACAGAGGTTTATCTAAAATAAGCCCTTGAAATTACATAATAAATAAATTATCCAAGCTAAGATCTCACCTCGTATATATTGCATCAAGAAACAAAGCTCAGATCTGAATAACTCCGACATATGGTTACCTTTCTCTCATAGATTATTCCGTACATGCATAGCATATTATTTCTGAGATGTCACGCGCGACTGAAATCACGACTTCGCGCCGCGGTGATGTGACAAATGCACGTGATAAACAAACCGTCCTTTGTCCTTTGCTCATTTCAAATTATTGAACTGGCGGTTACTGTGATTGCGGGTGCGCTTGATTTTACTGTTTGTTACGATCTTACAAAAGTACATTTCAACTCTGCGGATTGTCTGAACACGTAGATGTTGCTTTTATCACGAATCAAAAATGGGTATGACTCCTCAGCGACTGCTATGTACTTTGAAACGTTCTGGTTCAGGTTCTATTCGAAGCACGCTGTCTTTTAATCCAAGAGTCTTCTCTCATGTGAGTATTATAACATGTTACTAAGACGCTTAAGTATACGCCATATGAGAAACAAATGAAGGGTAGTAAACATTTATATACTCCCGCCTTTACGGCAATTTTAGTTTTTACAGGGTTCCATGCTCATCCTGGCTGTGTTGCATGAATGATCTCAGTCACTTGATGTCACGCTCTTTCATTCTCGCGTAAATTTGATGGTGTTATTCTTATGTTGTTCTTTATCAGCCAATAATTAATGTTCAGGCGTAGCCTGCAAGCTTCTGATAATACTTGAGTAAAGCCGTGAATATAATAAATAATGTAAGTTACATGTATGTAGATTATTATTTACCGGTAACGTCAGTAACGCAAACCCCTTTTGAAGCTGAAGATTAGCCTGTGTACAGACCCCCTCCCCTCCGATGTTTCTTGAGGGGAGGGGGTCTGTACACAGGCTAAAGATTGATTTCAGCATTTCTGAAAAATTCCATAAGAATTTCCCGCGAATACGTAGGGAAATCAACGTAAAGTCATCGGCTAAGAGATAATTCTCGTGAAGTCCTGGCCTAGGACTGTGTGGAGAAATTTCGCAGAGGTAAATCTTGCTTTTTCAGGGTAATTTTCGACGGTTATGTAGTTATTTTATTTCATGAATTTAAATGGTATTTCCATCCTGTTTTGGTACTGTTTTTATGCTCTTTCGACCGATTTTTGTACTGTTTTCATTCAACTCTAAGGCTATTTTCTTACAATTTTATCCTGTTTTTGCATTTTTGCATCCTATTTTTGATGTATTTTCACAATATATGCGTGCTATATTGCTTTTGTTCTTCTGTGTTATTTTAATTCTATTTTTAAAGTATTTTTATTGTATTTGCAAATACGAGTATTTTACTAAATTTCGAGACCGATTAAACAGCTATTAAAATATATTTTGAAGTTTAACATTTTAATAGCGTTTTAAACAGGTTAAAACACCTTTAAAATCAGTCGAAAAATATATTAAAAATAAATTTTTGTACCTATTTTAAAAC